CCTAGAAACAGTTTCTATGTCTATAGTTCCTCAAGCAGCTATACGAGCGGATCTAGAGCCCAAATGTACTCCCAGTGCGCCAGCAATTTGCGGAATCATGCTATCAATAAATTATTTTGATACTTTGGTTGGTACAGGTTTGCCTAACACAAAATAAAACCCTTTCGCTTGCAATACAGCAATGGTTTTTAAAGCTGTTGAAATTCAATTTGCCAATACAATTAATTTACCAGTAAATTCGTATCTAAGTTGTACAGTACCAACGTCTTAACCGTTCTATTTCCAGTTTTCCAAATTTTCCCGTCTAAACATTGCACCAAATATTCTTGGCTTTTAATTTCTTGTGAAGTATCGTGCGGTGTCTCCTGCCATTTGACTTTCAGATATTAGTGTAATATTGCCTGCGAATAATAACATTCATATGTAAGAAAGACGAGATAATCTGTAAGCCTCTGACCCTAGGGTTAGCTTTCATTCCTTTATTTTTCTTTGGGAGGTGGGGGGGTAAGGTCAATAAATATTTTTATGAAGAATAATATCGAACTTGGCTTTGCAACCTTGCTTCACCTAGACTGTTGGACTCATTATTGTTGTTTCTTTTATTTCACAAGTGTAAAAGTGAGGACGCGTGAGACAGTGTGCATATTGGTGCGCGCGCGCGCAAATGTGTTTTTAGTATGAGTTTTACGGCGCTTGAAACACAATAAGGTCATATATAAGAGCCAAAAATTAGATGTGTTACAAGAAAGTAACAAACACAAAAAGGAGTACAAAAAAGGACGATAGATATTTGATAAGAAAGAAGAAGCAAACCACACCAGACCATCCGCCAGCCACCCACTAGTATGTGTGTGGTGAAATACCCAACCTTGAGCCAGCATCTGGACAATAAGATTTAACTTATTTGATCATGTCTTATTATAATATCGTATCCCTATAATACTTAGAAACAGTGGTACTACAACAAAGAGCTTAAACACAGAGATTGCAAAAGTACTCGTACGATCGAACAATCTATATTCAGAAGGAAAAAATTACATAAACAAGCGTTGTGAGTCTCTCTGGTATCAACATGTCTATCTTACTGGCCTTGTCATTTGAGAGAAGCCAATTGGCGGCTTGGATTTCTTTTTGCAATATTTATAATAATGTTTTAAATTTATAAAAGGTGATGTGGTTGTGCTTTCAAAACTGTTGGTTATACTTATCATAATTTTCCTGACTTCTGGGTGAATTATCCAATGTTTGGTAACTTTTTTTTAGGAAAGTCTAAATTATATATCAGTTGACTTTCTTTGTATTAATGTTCTTCCACCTATTTTAAGTAATTCAAAATGTTTTTGGTTGTTTATACACAGAGAGACAGAGACAGAGAGACAGATAAAGAGAGAGGGGATTTGGATGGGGAGGAATGGAGAGAGAGATACACACGTACACACAGAGAGACAAAGGGACGGATCTCACCAGAGGAAGGGCTGAACGTGAGAGACAATCAAAACAACCGAGAAAGACGGACATTAGACGGACATAAAAGACAGGCAAACTGGTGAGAGAGTGGAGATAGAGAGCCGGGAGAGTCAAATACACAGACAGACTGGCTTACTGACTGGACGTCTGACTGACAGACAAGTAGAGAGCGAAAGGGGGAGACAAACAGACAGATATAATGACTGACTAACAGACAAAGCGAGAGAGACAGAGAGAGAGAGGGTGGGGGATGTGAAAGACAGAGGTGTTCTCCTCGAGTTAAAGATTCAGTGCACGTCCAACTGGCACTGACACTCTTCACTTACTACACTCTGGTGTCTCATTGCTGTACTATGCTACAGTGTTCACCTGTTGGTTTTCCCATTCCGACTAAAATACCC